GTGCATGTGCGCGTGTGTGGGTGGTACACAGAACATCAATTTCCACACTTCTATTAGCCCCGGGTCCAGTGGACCCAAACATCTTATATGCAATAGAAATGTGTAGGGGGGGTGTATGGTGTGTGGTCATTAAATATGTATTCTGATATATGTTCTTCACAGAAAATGAGCCAAAGCCAGTGAGTCTCAGTTTGAAAAAATAAATAATTATATCATTTTTCTTTTATTAAAAAGTGAAAACGGGTCCCACAGACCCGAACACCACACAAGGGTTAAGAGTAAAAAAATTAAGTGCCTGAAGAAAAAGAAGCAGCAAACTCCATTCAGAAGGCCCATCAATCAGACCAAGACAAGCTAGGACAAGACTGTTAACCACTGAGACCACTGTGTGGCCTGCGCAGCTTTAAACCTACATTTCAATTAATGCAGAAAACTAGTAACACTCAATATTGCTTTTTGCTTCTCTACCCAACAGTGTAATAAAGTGTTTCCTATTAAGAAAACAAGCTGCAGTTTAAGTGAGTTACAGTCCCAGCACAGAATTTAATGTTGTTGCCGTACTGGAGAAAGCAACAGGACTGGGCAAAAGTAATATAAAAAAAATCTTCATCTAGAAAGCCAAAGGATGAGATGAAGCCGCATGAGTGACGCGTGACTTTTCAGTCAGCTTCAGGTTTCTCAGAGACATCGACCCTCTGACCTGAAGTCAAAGATCCGCCCTCACACACAGTCCCAGGCCTCACTTAACCACCAGGGGAAAAAGCAAGTGACCTGTTTCCATGTGTGAGGACACACACAGATACTGACATAAACACAAACGCCAGAGAAATCCATGTATAAGGTACTTACACAGCCATCGTGTACATTGAGTGTAGCTTCAAGTTTAAGCCTCTGGACAAACTCTCTTCTACCTGTGAAATAAAAAAACAATTTAATAAAACTTTTTTTTTTTTTTACAATATGCTGCTGAAAACAAATTATAGCAGAGGGGTATTGCACAAACGTAGTAGGTTACCTCAGGATAACTGAGGTAACCTATTCTGGTCCATGCAGGATTCATTCAGCCTGTCTGTTAGCCTATTCAGGAGAAGGAGCTATTCTGGAGAATAAATCACCATAGTAACTTAGCCAGGCTTTGTCCGGTGTTCTCGCAACCCACTTCAGAATAAGTTAAGCAGGAATAATCAACGTATACCAGCTTGAACCCTTATCTTGGTTTTGTGCAATACCTCCCAGGAGAAGAGTCAGGAATGTATATAGTCATTCAAACAAATATGTACAATACACTGTGTCATGTACAGGTATATAGTAGGTAGTGTTGAGCGTCTGCTGTTGTGTGGGGTCGTACACCTACAACCACCTTATAGGAAAATTCCCTGCAGCTCTCGCTGCCATTTTATAAACATTCCTAAGGTTCTTTCCCTTTCCCTGTTGTCTTAATTTACATTCATGTAGTTCATTTAGACCAAATAAATAAACGCGAGCTGTGCCTCTCTCTGCATTATATACAGCTGTGAAAACCTTTTTTGAAGTAATTACAATGAAAGAAAGTTTCCAGAGAAGCAATTGCACAAACTTGCCCAAAACAACTATGAAAATGTGTCTCTTCTGCTACCAGAGTGTTTCTATCCAACCTGCACTGGCAGGTTTTATCAGCTGAGCAGGAATTATTCTGTGCCTGAACTCATACACATGGAGCCCCTACCGTGTTTGACAGTCAAGCTTCAACTCACGAGGACTAGTATAAATGTCATGCATTAAAGTTGCATGAGAGTGAGCTGTACAAAGCCCTACTGATGACATGTCAGTGTGTTACACAGACTCAGCAGCGGAGATGGGACCAAGGATTAAATATTGGAAAATGGAGTGGAGGCGTGGACAGATTTGATGGGACAGTACCATTGACGAGTTGTTTATTTTAGATGGAATCAAGACCAAGAAACCTTGTCTTGCAGCTGGAAAATATAAGCCAGGATTTAAAAAGCAAAGATTCCAAAAAATTTAGGCCTATAGCCTTGGGTCATGACAAGTCTGGGTACATGGCAGAAAGTGAGTTGAAAATACAAGGAAAAGGCTTATGAAGAAAGCCATCCAGAGAGATAGAGCTAAAAAACATACAGCAGGTTAGGGTGGTAAAAACTGTGAAAGGACGGAAATGCACTACCAAGTGGACAGTGTGTGTCCCGAATCTTTAAAAAATGTCATACTCTAACATTCGGTAATATCAGATTAAAGAAAAGTAAATAGATACTTTAAACAGATATTTTAATAGTAAATTATATTAAGAGTACTAGTATTTGCCACTAGATGAAAGCAGTTGCTGTAATCATGTTTCCATTTAGGATTTTATTATTTTAGAATTCTTTTTTTTTTTTACTTGAGATGGTCATAAACAACATTTAATAAAAAATAAAATAAATAACCACTCGTCATTATTACTAATTGTTGCTTTGCTTCACAATGGTTTCATGAAACTTCTAGATGTTTCTCTGACAGACATCAACAGTAGCCACTTCATGTTACCCCTCCACCCACATCTTCCTTCTTTCTTGAGCTAAATATATCCTACAAGAGCTCTGACCAACACACTGCAGAATGAATCCTACACTCGTACACAATACCAGCTCGGACGGTATCACAGTCAGAGAAGCTAAATGCAGCGCTGACCAAAGCTCAGTGGCCTGTAAATCTGCATTCAACAATCATCAGATGCTGACTTTATGACAGGATTGCGGCCCGTGGGAGCAGCAACACTGTCCTGTGTTTAATCTGCAACAAACACAGGGATTCACAGCAATGTGGCCTGTCCTGAAAAAGCTCACTCCACTAAAGAGCCCTCGTCCATAAGGGAACAGCTCAGTTTTATGGCAGTGCTTTTAGTAATCTGAAACTGCAACAACTGGATATAAAACCATATGTCAGCTTCAGCATCCAACGGCAAATGCAACCTTTTCAAAAGGAGCCTGTAGCTTTTAAAGAAAGGTACCAGGTTTCAGATTTTCCAAAATTGTAGGCATCTAAAGTGCTGTATAATGGAAATATACAATATGCACACTTACTGTTTGCAAACACAAAACTAATTCCTCCCCTGCAGGGGGTGCTATATCGATGACTGTAAAATCATGGCCCATGGCTTGAGTGCTACAGTATATGACATTAACTTGTCATTCATACAACGTTTTTTTCTCCAGAGTCTTATAACTACATTTAGGTTTTGAGACTCTTGGTTGTCCATAACAAGTGCACCTCTGAGCTAGGGCAGTGCTGAAGGGTACAGTGCCTGTGGTGCTGTACACCTCAAATGATGCTTTTAAAAAACAAAACAAAAAAAACTAAAGTTGACGACTATATAAAAAAAGCTAATATTTTAAGATGTTGCAGCAAAATAATCTTAAAATGACATCTAGCAACAAGGTTGCTTTTGGAGATTTACAACAGGAGTTTATCTCCTCTGAGGCTCAGAAAAACCCAAATCATTTTACTATTTTCTATTTCTTGTATACTTTATTTAAAATATTACTTTAAGCAAATTCCACACTTGTTGTTTAACCATGATATTTATTATTTTTATATTTCTGTTGTTATTGCTCTCCCAATATTATTATATTTATTAGTACCATTTTCTCAGAGTTGTGTTGTTGGCCGTATTTTCTTTGCAGCTGATTCCAGCCTCATCAGCTCCAGATGCAGACTCTTTAATATTAAAATTTCACTCACAGCTCCTGGAAATCTTTTCTACAGACCCGTTAGCATTTTCCTTGACAACTGTTTCTTTTGTTCTTACCTAAATAGTTGCTCCTTATGATGTTCGGTTCTCCGTATCCAATTAAGCGTTTGTTCACATCCCAGACTAGGTTTCCAGAGTAGGACATTGTGACCAAATGTGTGTAAATTTTAATAATAACATTGAAACGAACGCAGCTAACTGCTTTCCTGTTGTTGTTTTTGTTGTTGTCGTTTCTGCCTCTCGCCCAAACGTCAGTCCGTCGGGACCTTGCTAACGTTAATTAGCTGCGACACAGCGTTTCCATTGCCTGATAAAGAGCAGAAGAATTATCCAGGGTCTAGTCTCCTGTGTACAAATGCGTTTACACCGAATGTGGTCACTCAGCTCCCGGGTACAGCTGTTCTACTGTCCACAGTCTTTGAGCCTGGCCTGGTTTATCTGTGCTGCAGACAGCCGTCAGCTGAGCCCTGACATCGCGATAGAAAAAAACAGAGGCGCTTGTTTTCTCATACATTAACAACCATCAGGGGCGGTGATTAGCTTCCAATGTTTTGATTTTCAGATTAAACTACAAATTTAACAACGTCAAAAAAATCCCCAGACCATTAATTATTTGTATGTCCCATTTTCTCGTGTTTTCATATTCCTTTGATTTCAAGCGAGGTTTGTTCTTTTTTGAGGTAAATCCTTGGAGATGTTTTCGATTCGATTGTATTCTGTTCACGGGCCGTCAGATTCTATAGGTTTGGAGACAAAGCTCTGTGCAGAATACTCAATAATACTCACTTTGCTTTTTAAAAAGCATTCTTAACCTATTCCAAACAGTTTTAAATTTATTTTTCTCGTAAAACAAAATCACATCTTCACCATTCGACCCAACTCCAATTTTGACTGCAGTATAACACATTGATATCTTCCTTATGAAAGCATATGTAATATGTCAGTAATTAAAGAGTTCTAATTGTTCCTTCTACCACATGATGTGCTCCCAGTCTATCTCGGGATACCGTTAGGCTTAAGTGTCTCTCCTGCAAACGTTGAAAAGTGTTTTTTCTTTGTTTGTTTGTCGTTTGTTTTGTTTTTTGCGAAACCATTTATGTTGAAAAACTATGCATTGTTAGTTTCATGACAAGTCTGAAACCCACGTCATACATCTTTTTAAAAAACGTATTTGGAAATTTTGAATACCCGTTTCATTCGAGTCCACCTAGCTGAGACATGCCGGCGTCAAAAGTATTACCGCAGAGTGCGCCAATCTCATCGACGTTCCCACCAGCTGAACCAATGTAAAGAGAGTAAACAGAGGTCCCCGCCCCTCGCGCGGTAGGTTGCATTTCTAGAAAGTCACCTCCTCTGACCGACTCTCAGCCAGTAAAGCTGCCTATTGCTAACGACGCTAAAGCGCTAGCACGAGGTGCCGATCGTGTAATGTAGAGTTTTGTTTATAGACTAAAGTAATTTCATGCGCGTTCGCGCGTCCTACTTAACGGGGTGTGCTTGTAACGTAATTTCATTTTTTTTTAATTAGAAAATATTTCCTTAAATATGACAATGAGAAAAGGGTAACGTACTCTTAATGTAAACATGTACATGCGATAACTAAAGTTAGCCAAAAACACTATAATGTACGGTGGCCCTGAAGGTTAAAACACATTAACATTTCAGAAAACACAACAAACATTACAGAAAACACAACGACATTTCGGAATACAGACAGAGTAGGGACTGCTATTATTTTAAAAATTACATATTTGTCTAAAAAGTTAGCCTAAAGGCTAAACGAATTCCCCAAAGTCTGTCAAAAGATAGCGAACGCAAATTAAGAGATAAAATAGATGGTTTTTCATTAAACACTGCTAAAGCAGCTCGACACTAAAACATATTGCCCTACCCCCCAAATTATGCATAGAACATATGAAAAGTGACCAAAATGTTTGTTAATAATATATATATTTTTAAAAGTTATAAAATTATTTAATAATAATTATTATTATTATTGTTATTTAAAAAAAACAAGAAGAAAAGTGCGCTAAATTTATATCGTTTGTTATTTGACAGACCTACCGACAGAGGACTGTCTGTTGACAGGACCATGGTATTAGGAAATAAAAGTAGATAATCCGGAAGCCAAACGACTCGCAACACTAGAGGACGGCAACGGCCAATTCATTGACAGACAAGAGCGGGCGAAGGTCGAAAGTAGGACGGCAGCATCCGCCTCTACTGTATCGGAGCCAAACCTCCTGAGTTTATAATCTAGTTGATGTGGTCGTGGAAGTGATTGACGGAAGAGAAGTCAAAGTTTTTTTTTTCAAATCCAGTGGCTCATTAACGAAGGACGCGGTGCTAGCATAGCTAGCATTGAATCAAATAGCCTCTAACTTGAGTGTCTTGTTCAGTTTCTTCATCCTTGTGCCTCCTCTGTGTGAACATCTACAGTCATGGCTGCTCTTAGGGCTTCTTACCACAGGATTCTCAACAGCATAGAACATGTATTACCCGAAAAACTGAAACCGATCTACAACCATCCTGCAGGTAAGTCAGATCCTGGAAACATGATCGGAAGGACGGAGTCTGTTTTGACAGCGATGTCTGATGCACTCACTTGGCCTTCTTGTATAAATAATTAACATCTATAGTGCTGGTATAACTTAACAGAATCAGTAAATCAATTAACGTTAGCCAAAATAACATCGACAATGACATTCTCTCTCGGACAATGTCACTTATTTTATCCATCTGATCAAATGCCCTTATCCGGGTTTTCATCGGGTTGCGAAACAGGCCAGTATACTAAATAGCAGTTGTGTTTTCGTTAAATTGTTCTTGCATGTAGCCTATTTGGAAATGTTGTCTTAACAAAAACATGGCATGTTATTTGGCTTACCTTAAAGTTAAATATGGACATACACATTTGGTTTTAAGTTAACCAAAGGTAGGTACATTTAAAATTTTAATGTTAAGTGAGCTAAAATCATGAGGTGTAGTACCATATCTAAGCTAGCTAAAATAGCTTACAATTCTAGATATCTAAAAATACCTAGAAGCTGGTCTAAAATATAAATGGTTTAAAAACAATGTAGCAATATTAGCTAAATAAAATGATAAAACAAAAATACTTTCTTTTAAAATTTAGCAACTAATAACTGCAATTTAGTCAAAAAAAATGAAAAAAAATAAGTAGAAACCAACCAGACATCAGCTACAATTTGCCAATACATAGCATAGCCTGGAGTTAGCAAAGTTAAAAAAAGAAAGAAAGAAAAATAAAGAATTTGCCCAAAAAAAAACTAAGTATGCCACAAGTTGTAACAGACATAGATGATTGTCAGCCTGGTTGATGATTTCATGTTTTATGGTGCTTTAGACAATTATTGAATGTGTAGTCTCTTGGAAAAGGTGTAACACCTTTCTGTAAAGTTTCCACAGACATAGACAAATCCATATTATGAGTTTGTAGTGTCCACTTACATGTAGCCATAATTTAATTTAAGTTCTATTACTTCCATTATTAGATATTATAATTATTAAATACAGTGACATTATACACCATGTCATAGGCAAAGAAAAACCGTGTTGCCTTTTACACTCTGGAGAGAGTAAACAATGATTTGGGTCTGAGAAACTTTGTGCGTGTATGTGGTTGTTGCATATTGCTGTATAGGGGAATCTGACCTACTAAGCAGCTCAGTGTACGTGTTTTAAAACGCACATTGTTTTGTTAAAGAATATTCATTAATGTTTTTCAACCAGCATGTTTGGAGGCGAGAAACAAGAAAACACACATTGAAATTTATGGAGGCCACAAAAATGAGCATCTTTATTTTCATTTATCGTGCGATTATTGATATATGTGGATTTATTAATTATTGTCCCAGGCCTTGGTAACAACACAGATGGTGGAGTTGACCCACAGTCATCTTCCTCAGATGTGATTAGCAGCTACACAGTGTCCTTTTAACAGTTCAGCCCACTGTGGTGATCAGAAACATGGTGACAGCTGGTTCCAGATCAGCAGGTTTTTTAGGAGTTTCCGTCTCCCTGGGTTTTTGACTGCAGGCATATAACATTTTCCACCCGGTAGTTTAAAAACACACAGTGGAATGTTGTCACTGTGATGTTGACATGTCCTTGGTTGTTATATATGAAACTGAGTGGGTCAAGGTATTTGCAACAAGCTTTCTTATAAAAACAGCATGTTTAAATGACAAGAACACACATAAAATGTCAGCTTTTGATTTTAAAATATACAAAGGCAATGTTTATTTATACCTCATGTGAGGTAAAAATCCGAATTCCAAGCACAGTAGTGCAGCTCCCACCACACTTTGGGAATTCCTACTGTAGGCTAATTTTGTTTTCTTTTTGTAAAGGTTTTTCATGTTAAGTACAGTTTAGCTGAGGCTGGTGTTTGTTATTTTGAATCTTAGTTAAAATTATTGACCAGTACTCAGTTACCTCTTTGAATATATCTCATTTGGTACATTTTTGACTACTTTTTGTAGCTTACTTTTAGCTACTTCTTGGCTAACTTTTTAGACATGCGAGAAGTTTTGTTTCCCTGAATGATATGACCATCTGGTTCTTTCAGTTTTACTTGATGCCTTGTGCTAAAATTAGCAATCTTGAAAAGGGAAACCATGCAGTTAAACACAGCAAAAACACACATTGTTTCTTTGCCAATTAATTAATTTTTTGTATTGGTAACTTCATTGCAGGTCCTAAAACAGTTTTTTTCTGGGCTCCAGTGTTTAAATGGGTAAGTACAGTTACACAGTTTTGCTCTCATTTAAAACTGATTCACTACGAGTCTCTCTGTATTTGTTTGTAAGTGAAGCCTGAGGCAGTGATGCAGCTTTTAAGCTTGGTGGCTACGCTCTCTATGCATGTGAAAACGCTACAGTTGGTGACAGTGTGATTTGACATGAACGCTGGAGGAGAGTTAAAAGGTTCTAGTGTGTGAAATTTGGTAATAAGATGGTGTATTGTACAGTAAATAAAGTTGATAACGTTACCACAGCACAGACAGTAATGTCTTTTTGTCCTCCAGGGTCTGGTTGGAGCTGGTTTGGCTGATATGACTCGACCAGCAGATAAACTCAGCACCTCCCAGTCTGCAGTGCTGACAGCCACAGGTGAGATGAAGCTTTGTTAGTTTCACAATAATCGTTGTTTAAAGTGTGGTTTTGTATGAAGGTAAGTCAAAAAGTTCTGAGATTATTTTACAAATACGCACCATTTACATGTAAACACTTAACCACTACAGAGTTGTTGTCATTCAATGATGACGTTAATATGAGTGGTCTCTGACTCCCTGCTCCCTCCTCAGTTCACTTTCTCTCATTAATACTCACACACAGTAACATAATGAGCAATGTAACATCTTGTTTTTACAAGATGTTACAGTGCTCATTATGTTACACACTGGCAATTAATACCAATTACCAATAACAACAGCAGTCTAGTTAATAAAGTAGCACTAGGTGAATAATAAAGACACTTACTGTACATGCTTTTTTTTTTTTTGTACTGTTTTGTAGTTATTCTATGATGAATCTGTGTCAAAGGTTCACTGACGCTTCCACTTTTGCAATATGTCTCTTCAAACAAACTTTATCTGGTTCCCAACCTTGACCCTCATCATCTGTTTTTTTTTTTTTAACCCATCAGGCCTCATCTGGTCCAGGTACTCTCTGGTCATTATCCCCAAGAACTGGAACTTGTTTGCCGTCAACTTCTTTGTTGGCTGTGCCGGAGCCTCTCAGCTCTACAGGATCTGGAGGTTTGTGGAGACTTACAAGGGAAATGGAGGAGAGAATGTTTAATCAACTGACCTGGAGGTGTCAGTTAATGATCAATAACCAGGAAGGATCACATGATCACACATAATAACTGATTTGGGTGTATTCTCTACGTGGCAATGAAGGAGAAAAGTATGTGCTAAATAAAATGCAAAACAAATCCTGGACGTACACCTCTTCATTAGAGCTACCTCTAGGTATTACGGGTATTTTTTTTTTCCTAGTGGCCCTAATCATCGCCAGCTTCAAACTATGGTTCCATAGTAGAGCGTTTATCAAGCCTGTCTTATACATCTGCCCTACATGCAGACTCAAACAGAAATATTGTAACCTCCAAGTCAGAGGTTTTAACCTCCTTATATGTCCTTAAAGAACTTTTCCAAGAACAGTTGTAAAACACCTCAGGTCAACAAGAGCAGGTTATTAAAGATATAAAACAGGCAGACAGCCCAGATAAACCAGGGCATAGAGCAGAGGATGTCAGATATATAGGACTGTAAAATAAGTCAACAGTCAGTCAGCAACAAAAAAAGTGATATAGAATGTTAGAAAGCAGTGATTTCTCTTTTTTTCATGCAGTAACTGTTCCATTTCCTGGGTAGAAAACCTCAAAGTGTAACAGCATTTTGAGATCCATGTGGGGATCCTTATGATTCGTCAGTATCGTGAAGCTTATTTTCCATAATAATGTGTTTTTATGCATAATTTAAACAGTAAAATATAATCTGCAGTGACTTTAAGCATCTCTTAATCTTACTTGGAAAAGTATATTTTCAGGGAATTGTTACAGCATGCACATGATAATAAATCAGCAAATGAAAGAGACTGAATGTTTGCAACTTTAAAATCACTTTACTTTTTTTTTGTTCTGCTAAAGTTATGAACAGGAAAAAAAGGCACAGGCTAAAGCTGCTGCTGCTGCTGCTGCAGACTCCTGAGTAAATCCTGTTACCACAGAGTTGGATCCAAAGGGAGACTTGACAGCGGACATCCACCCATCTGCTGCTGCACCTCCAACACCACCATCTCAGTATGTCCAGGCCATAATCATAGTAGTATCATTTTTAAACCTATTGTTCCTGCAGGAAGTAAACTTTTCCCAAAGTTCCAAATTTCCTCAGGACATTCAATACAGCAATTAAAAAAGTACGAGGACATTTTTAGCTCTAGTCAACAAACGCTCAAGAACTGATGTCATCAACGCACATGTAGTGGTTGTATGTTTGTTACATTGGAATTTAGCTTTTAACAGTAACTAGTACATTAGTAGTTTGTCGGGAAGTTGTGGATTTGTATCACCTGTAACTAAACCTAGTACCTCAGACATCAACTCCTCAACGTGCTGAGGAACGCTAACGTGAACGACAGCATCATCAATCTCTGATTTTTATCAAATTATTTAAAATTTGTCAGCATCCTTTTGGCTTCTTTAAGTCTTTTAATCTGTGTTTTAATCCTAATTTATGATTCATAGCTTTTTTTCTTCCTGTAGTTGATCATTTATAGAAGAAACTAGAATTCACTGATTGTAAGTTCTCATCAGTGCCACACAAATTACAATCTGTGCAGATTTTTTTTTAAGATCTGTAATGACTACAGAGCTAAACCAGTTTAATATTTGAATATTTAATCATTACTGATGATGCCTTGTTGCTTTTAACAGAAGAGAATAGAGTGATTTTTTTGACTGTCTGTACACTGAATGATCTCTTTGTCACTTTTAGCAATAATTAAACTCCTTTTTCTTGATCTGCCATTTAAAAACAATGGCACTTTCAAGATTGATCTTTATGGCTCTGTGGCTGTGAAATGGCTGTAAAATGCTAATAAATATTGTTAACACCAAGTGGAGTCAGAATTCTTTTATCCTATCATTTAAATAATTCCAGTTTCTCCTCGATGAACTCAGCCCTTCAATGTCTATAACTGTGATGGTCAGTAAATGCAGGAGGCTTTGAGAGTGGCTATTTGTGTCCCTGGCAGCAGTTCACACGTGAGCCATTGTTTCCAATACAAACAGCAGCTCACCTCTACAAGTTTCAATGACTCCATGACTTTCAGAGTCACTGATTTCATGGGGAAATAAGTCTATGTTTAATTCCCCAAAATCCAAAAGTATTTTTGCTCATTGAGTATAAGATTGATGACAATAAATTGTCATCAATTACATATTTAATGTTAACGTTCAATTAAATTGTCTTGATTAAAAGCCGTCTAATTAAACTTGGATAGACCAAAGAATAAGTGGAACTTTGCGCCCTCTTCTGACCAAAATCTGAACTACAGACGAAAAATACATGTCTTGAATGGATTTTATTTCATCCTATTGGTGACAGAACAGGAATCCTCCACACTTTTTCTTTTTAATCCAAGTCTAGTCTAGCCGATACTCAGACGGTCGGAGTAAACTGACTTTAATTTTTCCTCCCAACAAAACACACATGTATGGATGTTCCATCACCTGTCTTGACAAGAAAATAGTACAATTTTACTGCAGATTACATTGTGTTAATCTGTACCATTTATTTCCATTTCATTAATATTTGAAATATTTTGTAAGTATGGTTATCCTTTCTGCACCAGTGTCATATTCAGTCATCACCACTGTTTATACAGAACTGCTCTCATGTATTACCCTGTGTAAACAAATGGGTTTCGGCAAAAAGCTTGAAGTCGAATTGGCTGTTATGGACTAACCAAAAAAGGGGCATACAAATGATGGTTTACCACAAAATTTTATTCACAACCATAAACAAAGAGTCAGGTTTAGCGTTTTCCACCAACACGGGGTGCGCTGACCTTCATGGGCTTAGCGATCTTGGGTTTCTGTGCAGCCTTGGTTGTGGCCTGCAAAAGAAAATCAATTCTCTCTTATTTATATGGTTTAAAAGCTACACTGTCTTGTACACAGACACCATTTACAATTAATTTTTAAAAAAAGTAGCTCAGAACTATATAATCATACAGAACACACTTACTTTTGCACTGGTTGCAGGGGGCTTCTTAGCTGCCTGCTTAGCCTTTTTGGCCTCCTTGGCAGCTCTAAGAAGAAATAAAAATGGTTTAAAATTTAAATAGAATTTATCAAGTAATATAGATCAACCAGAAAGAATAAATATATAAAGTCAGGATGGAAATGACAAGTAATCATTTAATCTAGTCTTTTCTGTCCACACAAACCATAGTTGTTCATAAAAGGTAGCAAAGAACACAACCAAGACTCTTCAGAAAAGTTAGGAATAGTTTATCCCCCTACCCTACATTTACATTCAACATATTTTCAGCAGCTTCTGAAGCAGGTGAAACCAGATTAGAATATTTGCGGCAATACCTGATGGCCTGCTCCCTCTGGGCCTTGCGGACTTCGGGTTTCTGGTTCCTCTTGGCCATGATCTCAGCCAAGGAGGCCCCAGTGATGGCCCTCTGGAATTTGACAGTGCGGCGGGTGCGCTTTTTTGCCACCTCTTCCTGTTAAAGACGGGTAGGAAAAACATTAATTAATGTTACAGAACTCTCAACTGTGTTATGCTGAAGTCTCTGTTGCTCTTTTACTTTAGAGTGGATTATTTAGCACATTATAAAACTGATGATCTTCAGCAATATTCTGCACTGTATACACCATTTTTCTTGAAATCCAACAGTTTCAGATTCTAATTAATTCCCATAACTTTTTAAAAACGATTTAAACCATCTAATAAATTAGATATTATAAGATTAATTTATACTGAAACATTACTTATTTACAGATTCCTGGCTGCTAACATTGGGGGCAGAATACTGATTAATTGTGTAGCCTGTTGGAGAGTTTGGAGGCTGGCCAAAGGAGAAGATGTCAAAGACGTCTCGGGCCAGTACTATGATCTCCATGTATTCTGTGGCTGTAGGTGCAGTGTGAGCGGTGCTGCCCGGCTGCAAAACACAGCTAGACAACAACACATCACACAGACCAACACTGTGCACACCATTCACCTACAGCCAGGGGTTTATACAAGGATTACAATTAATTTGGTGTTAGCAAGAAAGCTAACAAAAAGCATTCCAAAGACCATATGAGTGCCTTAGAGAAAGAAAAGGGTACAGAATGACCTAACATCAATTCTTCCTTCTCTTGTACCCAGTACTTACAGACTGGCCCTTCTTGTGCTTGCGTCTGTACAGCACAGTCCAGTTGATCTGTCTGGGGTTCCTCTTGGCCAGGAAAGCAGACTCACACTTGGCGTTCAGAAACTGAAACACCTAAGGAGAAAAAAAATCTTTGATTGGTCACAATGTTTACCTCATGACTTTCATATCAACACATCAATTATTCACCTGAATTAATTGATTTTCAGTGACTTATCTTTTGATATTTTTGTCAAGGTGAAAGACCTTTATAGAATTAGTCAATTAATAAAAAATAAATCGGACAAATACAATCAGCCTAGTTTAGTCATTTATATGGGTGAAATAAATGATGGTGGGAGCCAATCACATCGCATCAATTTCCACAGAATAATTGTGATATAGTGAAAATTAATTTATCTTAGCTGCATTGTAACGAAATGAGTGTGCCCACAGATGTCAATATTCTAAGTCGTACTCTTAGTTACCTATTTAACTTCTCAACAACACCATATCTTTACCCACATTGTCCAATAATAATATCGCAATAAACCTCACTCTAAACCTTTCTGTAAGACAGGCACAGTGAATCACCTAATAAAATGTTAGGCTGCTAAAGGTTAGCTTGTGGCTAACTTTAGCGTACTACAGTAGCTTCAGAGTAGACTCGGCCTCCAAGCATTTAATTCAGTAAACAAATACAATTTGTGAACATACGAAAACACGAATTCCACCGGATTGGCTTTATGTACAACGACATGGTTACTGATAAGACTGAACGGTAATATTGCGGCAGTTTGCGGTTACCTTTCCGTCTATCCTGGCATATCGACGGCCATGGCCGGGGTATATTTTATACCCGCTGAAACTGCACAACTCGACCCTGAAAACAACAAATATTGGACATCACCAAAAGATATGGGCATCAACGTCTTTTCTGAATCGGTAACATGTTAAAAATATTTATTAAAGAACAAAGATGGTATTTGATCGTGTTGCGTTCACTCACTTCATGATGGCTACGAGAGGGCACAAAACCGGAAAGAAAGATGACGGAAGCGGAAACCGAATTCAGACGTATTGAAGTCCACCTAAACTTTTTTTTTTTAACAAAACAATAAACAAAAACATTTGCAAGATTAAATATATTTAAGACGTTTAATGTATATAACGTACTGATTCTTGTGTAAAAAAAAAATCAAAGATGACGTTGTTGAAAGCCAATTACCATTTTGTATACACAGTCATTTGTTTTAATACAATTGACGTTGTGTGCACATATGGCAAGTTTTTAAAGATTGTTTTAAACTTTATTTTTGGACTTATGACCACAAAAGGGTTGCGTAAAACATTTGTCTCAGTCACCCATGTTTTTATTAAAACTATGTACAAGGCTTTGTAAGCTGAACGAGGCTTTGCAAATTGTTAAAATTAATTTAAAATCGTAATGTGTTGATCAATAAATCAGACTATTAGCGAAAATGCAGTGAAAAAGTACGGCAAGAATAAAAAAAAGTTCTTAAAAATTAAGCCCTAATGCTGTTGACATTAAATGCCAATTCCACATTAATGTTATCAAATCATCTGCTTAATATTAGACAGCTTTACTATGTTACAATTTAAAAGTTTTATAACACAATTGTAAAATTAAAACAGAGTTTTATACTAATTTAATTTTTACTCATTTAATCTTACTGGCGGGTTTTGTAAACATAGGCGCGCTGTAGTAAACTAAGCCAGTTGTAGTCTTTTTAAACCAGGATATAATCAATTATTATCCTGAATGCAGTTCGTCTAAACTCAGTTTCCCACAATTCTTCTCGGGTTAGGTTTGACGTTTCGCACTGATCTGTCGTTAACAGACAGAGTTGTTAGCAAACGTTCAGTGTTTGTGTTTGGTAGGAGAAGGATGGGGGTATCAGATTTAAAGTTAGACAGAAATGCGGGTAAGTAGTCCTTTGGTTGTTTAGTCAGGTAAACAGTAAATATTTGGGTTTGTTGTTCGGCAGGTGCTGTGTTTCTAGGTAAGCTAACATTAGCTGGCCATGGATCAACTGAGCGGAGCCGTTAGCTACAGACAAAATTCCGTAACAAATCATTCACCGACCATCGTATTAAACTTTGACATTTAAGGCACACTCACATTTTTTGAGTTGGCATCAAAATATATAATGTATACCGTAGACATTGCTTTCTTTAAGATTTATAATATACTTGTCTTTTGTCCGTCATAACAATAAACCTATTCGTATGTATAAACTACATAAATTTTACACCTGGCACCTACATAAAAAACACCTATTCGTATGTATAAACTACATACATACATTTTACACCTGGCACCTACATAAAAAATAAAGAGAGCTGAGGATTTGGATATTTTTGTATTCAATTTCCTGTATCGTAAAGTACATGTAAAAAGGAACAGATAGAGGTACAAAATATAGTGCTGGGCACTTCCTGTATGTGACCTTCTGCATTGGTGCACGCTTTCACCTGATCTCATGTCATCGCCATTTAATTGTGTACATGTGCCATAAATGTAAGCTGAACTTTTAACTAAAACGTTCCAAAGAACGTTTGAGTCCTAAACTGGTGCAGAAAATTTTATACATAGTTGGGCTTGTTGTTTTTGAAAAGGCTGGTCATTGTGAGGTGGTGATACATCAGTTCAGCGTGACTCAGCTTAGCCCTGTTGTTTACAACGCTGTGTCAGACTTATTTGTGTGTTATTTGTTACCATCCCCAAAATAAAGGACTAAGCCATCCTTCACTAAAATGTTTCCACTGAGATCAAAACCTTCTCACCGGAGCTATGACCCTGATGACACTAAACCGATTTGTCCTTGTGCAGAACTGATGCAGCGTTAGTCTCCACATTTGGTCAGTGGTGTTGTTGGTAATATTGATGAACAATCCACCAAAACTTATATATACTGTCCTCTCACAAGGACCTGTGGTGGATCTTTCTGCCCGGGGTTTGCAGAAGCTTGAGTCCAGTTTCACCTGCTCTGAAGACACTCACACTCTCATCCTGGACCGCAACCATATCATGAAACTGGACCATCTGGAAAGGAGCCCAAGCCTTCAGCAGGTTGAACCAACACCGAGATATACTTCTTTATCATTGCTCTTTTTATACAAACATAAATATAATAAAATACTCACAAGTGCCTCGGTGTATACATCGGTACTAAGCTCGAGCCATCTTTCCTCAGCTCTCAGTTGCAAACAACCGTTTGGTGAGAATGATGGGAGTGTCTCGGCTGACGGAGCTACGAGTCCTCAATCTTCCCAATAACAGTATTGGCTACATCGAGGGGCTGAGAGATCTCCCTCACCTGACGTGGCTGAACCTGTCTGGTAACAATATAAAGGTGGGAGAAAAAATATCTCTTTCTTTACTAACCTCCAGAGCAGCTAGTGGTTCAGAAAAACCTAAGTGTTTAGCAGCAATTTATCAAAGTGTAATTACACTCAGATTAATGATAGATATTCATCAAGTACACAAGAGTATCTTATCACTTACCACCTCTACTGCTTTATTCCTTTTACACCGATTACACAGGTCATTGAGCAACTCAACAACTGTGTTTCCCTCAAACACCTGGACCTGTCTGACAACAACATTTCAGCCCTTGGTGATATAAATAAACTGGTGGCACTGAAGGTGAGTCTGGTGGTTTCTGATTTACCACCAAATATTCTTTTTGAAAGAATGTGATGAAAGTGTTTCTTTTTTTCCAGACTCTCCTGCTCCATGGAAACAACATAACCACGCTCAGAACTGTTCCCACTCACCTGCCTAATCACTTGTCCATTTTCTCATTGGCAGAAAATGAGATTAGAGATCTCAATGAAGTAAATATCTTCTAATATCGTCATACATTAACAGGGATTTTCATTTTAATTGTATCTAGTGTTTCATTTAGTCATTTTTGTCGTCTGTTTTGCTCCACAGGTGTCATACCTGGCTTCTCTCCTTGAACTGGAGCAGCTCTCGATCATGAGCAATCCCTGTGTTTTGGCCACTCCTTCTCTGCCAGGATTTGACTACCGGCCTTACATTATGAGTTGGTGCCTAAATTTAAAGGTCCTTGACGGCTACATAGTATCTCAGAAAGAAGGGTGTGTACACTGGTTGGCTGTCTGACATTAATTGTTATGATTTACAAATGTTCACAGTGTTTTAATAAGTAAACTGTGATTGCAATGGACACAATGCCAGGTTGAAAGCTGAGTGGCTGTACAGTCAAGGAAAGGGGCGTTCATATCGACCAGGTCAGCATGTGCAGCTTGTTCAGTACCTTGCTACTGTTTGCCCTTTGACCTCATCACCAGCTCTGGAAACCGCAGAAGATGCTAAGCTGGAGAGGATCCTGAATAAGCAGAGGTAAACTTTGACTTTGAACACAGAAACTCCTTTAACAAACAGCTCTGTCCTGATATAGTCTGATGATTTTTTCTGTGCTGAATTTTAGGTTTCACCAAAAACAGCTGTTGGAGCAGGCTCAGGCAATCTGTCCCAGTCCGCCTCGTCCAACTCATCTCAATGTAGAGAAGCACAGTCCTTCAGATGTAACACAAAAAGAAGAAAGCAGAGAATGTGACACTGCATCTGGACCGGCTGCAGCTCCATCAGTCCCAGAGACAGGTACAAGAGATTCATAGTCTGACACATAAAAAAACAGCTTTTGTATCAACATTTTTTTTCAGTAAGAATCTGAAGTTTTCCAAGATAAACAACGCCAAACTATTTAATTTCACACATTACAATTTCTGATGAGACCTATAATCTTTATATTTGAGATGAATATCAAACAAGGGTGGAAATGAACAAAAATACACACCAAAGTGACTCAAACAAAACTTTGTTGTATTCTAATGTAGAATCTTATTATTTTAAAATATCACTTGGTAAAGGTTGCTGAAGAATTTCCAATGTTTTTTTTTTACTATGTGTATATCTTGTCTTCTCCATGTGCTATTGTTAAATGGTCTTGATGTTAATTTTTACAGAGCCAGTCGTGCAGTTCAATACGTGGGTTAGCTGCGATTCTTCCCACACACCGTTGCCAGTAGTTGGCAGCAGTAGGATCAGCGAGGAGCATATGTGTTTGGAGGATGTTCAGACCGATGAAGAAAAACTCCAGGACACACTTCTGTCTTCAGAGTCCACCTTTCTCCCTGTCCAGTCTGATCTGGAGCCACCAACGCTCCAGTCTGATAGTGAAGATGAAACAGAGACATTTGAACCAGATTCCTTGGCACCAAAGAGACCGGCTCAGACCAAGAACCACACCACGGGCAAGAAGCACTGCTCTCCACTAATGGAAAAGCAAGAGAGGAATGTTGTTGAAGATGATGCAACTTCGGGTGCAGCCGGAATAGTTGCCTCTCCTGGTCCCAGAGATTCTATGCAACAAGATGAACTGGAAAAATCCACAGATTTTTATAAAGCTGAGGTGAAAGAGACAACTAAGCAGGAAGCACAGGCTGGTACATGTGTCAACAAATCAGTGGACATGGAGAGGGCGGCAGTCAAAATACAGTCCTGGTGGAAGGGACACTACACTCGATTTGGTCACCCCATAGCCAGAGAAGTGCGAAGCGAAATCCGCCAACGCAGGATGCAAGAACACATCCTGTTTCTATATGAGAAGCTTGATAGGTAAAGAAAACTGAAAAGCTGCATATGGCTGCTTCCTGTTTTTATTGGATGTCTAAAATGGTTCTATTTATATTAATTATCTGGTGTATTTGCAGTGTGGAAAAGCAGTAT